GGAATGAATGAAATTTCGAGGTCTAGGTATTTATTATTTGTATATATAAATGAATAAGAGAGAATATCTTTTTTGAGAGAAGACATTCTTGATGTAAAGACTATACATATATCTTTTATTATTAATTACAACAAAACGAAGAATAAAAATTCAGATTTATATCTTTTATTACAAGATTTTTCATGTACAGAAAATATTGAGTGATTAAATTTGTTTGTAAAATACTGTCAAAAAGACATCACGTGGCGGACATGACGGAAAAAAAAGATACAGAAGCGATCGGAATGTCACGTAATTTATTGGCATTAGTTATAACGCGAGGGTTGCTTAAGAAATAATCATTGTATTCGCCGGCGTGACTGACCAATCGCTCCTCTCTTCCATAAATGCTATATCGATGAACGTCACAAATCCTTTTTTGGATACCGCGTGTAAAACCACACGAGTGTCGCTTTCGCGCATGGGGATTCGACCCTCTCACGATCTCTTGTCCCCGCGCTTGTTGTCGCTAATTTATGCATAATATGCAAGCTCACATATACGCATTACGCGTGTTTGTGGATCCGTGCACGTGCGCACGATACGTGACACGAAGCAATGAATACGCGACAAGCTCGATGCTTGTCTTCATGGATAGCACGCGCTATCATCGATATATCCATAAAATTCAGCCTAAGAATCTACTACCTTCTTTCGTAAATTCGAATGGTGAGAAGGCTATAATCGAAAACACTTGAACTTACACTGTTAGAAATGTTTGTGAATTTACCATATTTTTACAATAAAAATGTGCAGTAAATTTACAATAGAAATTTGTTGTGAATTTACAAAACGTGCCGCGCCAGTATTAGAGATTTGCATATATTTTACCACAAAATGTTATTGTAATTTCACAATATAATATTGTTTAAATTTACAGCACATTTTTGTTGGATAAAAATTTTCAACACTTTTGAAAGTTTACAATAGAAATTTCTTACAGTGATGTCTTATTCTTATAAGTTCGACGACATGGTTATAATGATACGATAATGTTATCATATACGAAGATAATTTTAGTTGAAAGATCTAAAATTTTATTGGATACAAATCTGAAAATAATTTCATTGGATCATTTTATTGAAAATTATTTTAATCAAACTACTAGAATATCAAAATTTTTTGCAGCATTGCTTATTTAGTTTTTAACATAAATATTTCGATGGTCCAATAAAATTATTTTCAGATGTATGTCCAATAAAATTTATAGTCTTTCAAAATCGTTTTTTCCTTGAGTTATAATATCTAAGAAATGTGAATGCAGAATGAAATTTTTGTTGCCTTTAAAAATGAATTATAAAAAAAGACATAAAATTTCCAACAACTGATATTGTTTATTTCAATTTAAAATTGAAATAAGTTTCAGGATATAAATAAAACGTATAACTTAGCACGGTCCAATTAGCGAAGTTAAATATATGAACGTATCGAAGAATCTCGGAATATATCTGAATTCTAATAACATAATTAAAAATTATATAGTCGACTCAGTTCTAAATAATAGAGCGATACATCAGTTCCAACACGAGGAGGTCGAAAGCGAGGATAAGCGAGAGTCGAACTAGAGACCTCGAAGAGTTGTGATACATAACATAACAGTGCTTTAGCAAGCAGAAATAATGAGTCTATTATACGGATGTCTGTGTTGGTCGCTTTGTAATGACGATGTCCATAAGACACATACATACAGTACCAGTCAAGCCGGAGCACTTTGGCATCATACGTACAAATATCAGTCAGAACTTGCCAAATTCTTTAGTCTGAAAAAAATTTTTTAATATTTTATACGATATCTTAACATTGATAGATGAAATTTCCAATATTGTTAAAGTATCCAAGATAGATTTTTTTCGGTCCTTTGACACTTCATTTACGTCTCCAAAAAATAATAGTCCATACATAAAATATACATTATTCTTTTAAATTAATTTTATATATTATTGATAAAAAACGCATTTATTCGTATGTATAATTTCTTTCAAAGATGAAGACACACAGTACACAATTCAAAGCGTTTTACTTTCAGACAGGAGCGAATATAGAGCTGCTTTTTTATCAGATGTAACTGAATAAATTGTTTTTGGGAAATAAAAATTAATTAACGTAGTGATTAAAAATTCCTTCTTTGGTGAGAATTTCCAACGGCTAATTCAGTCAATTTTAATGTGGTAGTGGTTTCATTCTGCCTCCATGTAGACGAGAACGATTGAAATCGGGATGAGGGATATATATGAGCGCATTCATTAACGTCCACGTACACTTGTAGGTAGGTAAGTGTATGCGTGTGCTTTATATCGAGATAGACACACGCATGGCATGAGTCGGCGCGGAGCGGGCGAATCGTCTCTATTGTCCGCGGCGAAGCGTGTAGAGGACCCGACTTTCCCTCGTTCACCCACGGTCACTGCTGCAATGACGTAAGGCCCCTCGGCTAGGGTAATTGTTACCCGTGCGCTACGTACGAAGACTCGCTTTATAATGTTCTTCTCCACTCTCCGCACCGTTCTATTCCATTCCATTCGTCGTCCTATTGCGCGTGCCTCCCGAGTCCGACATCAACGCACTTGTGATTGCAAAGTGGAGTGTACGCGGTGCACGGATTACGGAACGGCACGCCAGGATTATCTCCCATTGATAAAGACTGCGTTATAGTACGCGAGCAAAATCGTAGTTTCAGCTGCCGCGATTGCGAGTCATCTCTCTAATCTTCTTTTTTGTTTCGTAATGTTCCCTAACAATGAAATGAAAATACATGACGTTAAGCCACGTGCTTATAAATTAATTCCTTTTGTATATCAGAATTTCTTTATATAATTAGTAACTTATTATTAATATTATAAATTATTATTAATAATTTTTTTATAAATAAATTACATATAATTCTCTCTAAAAATGAATCAGTGTATTATCATCACTGACATCAGTACACTTATAACTGATTATTAGCGAATATTTACTGTTTTTCAGTAATTATAAGATTATGATTTTCTGCAGATTCAATCTGTAGAAACCATAACTTTTAAAAATGAATCAGTGTGTATTATTACTGAAAAACAGAGTAAATATTCACTGATATTACTGTTAAAGTCAGTGATAATACACTGATTCACTTTTACAGAGTTTATTTATTAAAAATTTGTAATGCGTTCTGTCATCATTTACAGACTTAAGAAAGTCAATTTAATTGACTATAAGTTTTATAAAAAAGACATTTTAACATCGTTCCACAATGTTTTGACTTCAATTTGGTAATATTAAATATTAAAATACTCTAAACGCAATATAGCAAGTACTATTGTAATACGTTAAAATTCAAGCATAATTCATAAAAGTCGCAAACGTTTCATTAAACGCACATTGAACGTTGCTATTTGGTCTTTCGACAGCAGCACGTTAATCTATTGTGCAAAACGTGCTTGGCGAGAGTTGATTCGTCATGTAATGATGAATTTGATTTTACAATGGATAACCGCATATGGCGAAAGTAACTCGGTCAAAGCCAGATAAATGATCAAACGTTAATACTTAAACAAAAACTGGGTCACACGCGCTTGTGCAAAAATTATTCATGTCATAATGGGTGCAACGGGGAAATTTTTATATGACCATTACGTCAGTATTAGCGTTGATATTTTCACTCGGCAATTCGTTCTCCCATACCGCAAAGAAATTAAAACCGGGTTCGTGACCGGTGAATAATACGATTCTTAGTTCGAGCACACGCTAGCGAAATCTGGTTGATCGCATTGCACAACGTTACATTTTGTACAATAACAAAATCATTGTGTAATAAACGCTCATCAACTTGGTTTCATTCAACAAAAGTTCGATTTTGCAAAACTTGACGTCCATTCTCCCCGATAATCCTTCTCGTTTCGCGGCCGCGATTAGGAGACGTCGCGCGATTCATGAGATTGTACAAAACTTCTGAATGAATAGAATAGCTCCGCGAGAGAGCTATTCCAGACGATTCTGTAAAAAAAAATGAGAGAAAAAAAAATGAGTTTGAATGTGCCGCAGGTAACTTACATCATCTCCGATATTATCTCCGAATCTATCATACATGATTGTGGGATAGTTCGTTTGTTATTCAGTGTATTATGTAGTGGTGTATTCATCAAGAATTCAAGAGTGTAATAAAGAGAATAAATTTTTCAGGTTCAACAATATTCTCGTGTGAAGAATATAATGGACAAAACAAAGTGTTACATAAAGACTGAAGACGCCGACTAATGGGTGCCCTATAAGTCTGAGTTTCTCGTTTGGGCTCGAGCTCGAGAAATGGCTCACTCCCTCTCACTCGTCGCGCGCTGTAACAAGCCGTATCGTAATCAGCCCTGAGAGAAATCAGACGTTTGACGATTCGATTTCTAGGCATATACGGTGAAATCGCGGTCTGTCGCCGATGCAGTAACCCGCGATACGACGACGAAGAAATGCTAAATGAGGAACGAACAGTGACGATAATGAGAGGTTTGTGTTTGCAACACGTGCAAACGCACCAACCTGAGAGATGTTATCAGCCATCCTGACGTAACAATGAGAAACTCCTCCACGCTTTCGTTTGTACTTGCAATCGGGGAAATAAATAAAACGCGTCTTGTCGCGCAATTTAGCGGTCCCTTGCATATGCGCGCGAGTAATTATCGGTATCGGAAAGGGAAGAGCCGCATCGATGTTGTAGGAAGTGAGGCTTGTAATCATCTGACACTACTATCGTCGATGATAAAGCTTTTTACGCGCGTGTGGGTTTTTTACAAGGAAATTAATAATGTAACTTCCTTTTTTTTTTTAAGGATCGCGCGAGAAGATTTCAAAACCTCAACAGTTTAGGATTATTCTATAGAAATTTGCTATTCTGTGGAATATTGATGCAAGACGTTGCCTATGGGATTCCTACAAGCCCGAGATAATTCTTCGCGGTGAAGGAAGGTGGAGAGGAATAGTAAAAATGGACTTACCATCGTTATGATACTGTCTCGATGGCAGGGACACCGCGCCCGAAGAGGGTTGTATCGGGGGTTGTTGTTGCGTACCGCTCTGAGAAGGACCGGAGGAGTTGGAGGTGGCCGAATTGGCGGGCGTCGACGGATTTTTATGTTCTGGTGTTGCCACCTGATGGCCGCCACCCTGGTATTCCAAAAAATCACCTAAATCTGGCACGCATACGCTTTCATACAAGTTCGCCGGCACGTTCTCCAGAGAGGCCTTCGCTGCGTCGACATCTAAATGTAAAGAGATAAATCCTCAACCGAGCTGCACGTTTTATTCGAGTGCCTTCGCGAGTTAAGTAGTTAGGTTCGCGCCATCTCCATTTTTATCTGTTTTATCATTTGGACCCGTCTCGTCATTCGCGAATCTTTTAAAGTACTCGTTAACGTTAATAATGTGCATTGACTAAAGAAACTGTAGTTATATTTTTGCATTTATTTTGTATATAAATATATAAATACATAAAAAAATTATTATCGTTTTACATAACCGTTTCCCCGATTGCAATGACTATTTTTTACAAGAGTTTATAAGTTGAACGTGCATCAATATATTAATCTCGAGTTTGTTTATTTAATAATGTTGCAAAATTAAATCCGAATAATAATTTTAAAAAATTTAAACACGTTTATCCGAGTGTTAATTAACCCGTTAACTAAATAGCATTATTAACGATAGAAAAAGGAAAAAAGCTATATGTTTTCTAGTACACATTGTTCATTATTCACGAAGCATATATGCCTCGTGCATGTATACATAAATGGTCACATATACCTCATGGACAATGAACATGGTTAATCGTAATAATTAAGCCCCTTATCTTCACGTGATAACAGCTATCGCGACGGCATGTGTGCCCTAGTAGTTTTTCAGCGTATGTTGGTTATGACAATAAAATGTTTTGCATTTGTTTGTCATTAAGTGATTCCTCATAAGTAGATAGTTTCGCGCATCGCGAATCGCAATCGTAATTAACGATCTGGAGTAGGACTATCATCATTGCGACTGTATTGCGAAGGAGACGTTCGCCATTGCCGTGATTCATCGTCAGTGTTTCTACGCTTCTAGGAATTCTCGTGAAACTAATTGTCGACTGAAAATGTAAAACGACATACGTGCCATGAATATTTTCTTATTTTTCATATTTTTACACTCTGTTATACTTTTTTGCTTTCAATATACAAATAATCTTTGCTGTAGTCACTCCCTTTGGCTTTATATTTATATGTTGTCGACTATTAATTATTTGCGAGCAGTAGGGGAAAAAATTGAGATAAACTTTCTGTTAAGAGGAACAATTTACATTGTACTGATTTTTCAATTAAATAATTTTTATATTATCAGTATTAAAAATTGATTTATATTAAAGAAAATTATTTAAAATAAAACTCAAGTTTATTTCGTAAATAAAGATCGCTTAAAAATTGATTCGTGTTATTTGCATTGAAAATTCAATTTTTTAAAGATTTCTTCAAGCGTTGAAAGAAAAAAAAATAAAAGTTACGTTTATAGCAAGGTATAATGTCGAAATGTGCAAAGTGAACGGTACGCGAATCCGAGAAAGATATTTTCTTTAATCAAGTAATTATTTAACCAAAATTAGGCAAAATTTGACGATTAATCCAAGCTTTCATTCGATATGGTATATCAAAAGAGATCGATCATTCGTCTCTCGACGATGGCGAAACGCATCGCATTAATGAATTTCACCGTGAATCCGATCGGTATCACCGCGACAGGAAGATACAACTTTTTAGTTTCTACTTTTTTATACAACGCAAGAGCGTTTCCTAACATCCGTTCTCATTCGCGGAATCAAAGCGATTACCCACGTCGTGTCGCGACTGTGAGCGTCGGGTGCACGCTAGGCTTCAGTTAAATTACCGTCGCCTCGGTCAGAGGGATCACGCGGAGCGGCCGACTACATCGTTCACAATCGTAGCACAATAATAAATTGCACGGCTGGAATGTGGAAAGTACGACGATGATGACGATGATACTTTTATTTCTTTTCCTTACCGTTTCTACTGTCCGCAAAATTGCGTAGCTATAATGTATCTCTTCTCATTTCTAATATACGGAGATAATAAAACAGAGTAGTTTCAATTCTAATTGTAAGAAGGCCTGGTGATTCACCAAGAATTAATTTTAGAATTTAGTTTAACTTCAATATATAATTTTAATAGAATTTAATTTAATATTAGAATTTAAATTTAAATTTTTTTTAATTTTAATTTTTTTAATTCATCGATGATTTCCGGCAAATCCTAAATATAATCCGTTAATATTTATTTATAATTTACATCTCATTAATTAATATAAAATCCGTTTCGTTATTAGATTGTGATGAAATGATTCTTTATTAATAAGAAACTATGTTATAATGACGAACTTAACGTTAAGAATTTTATTTATTTATGCGCTCTCTTTCGATACAAAAGAGAGAAAGATTATGTATTCGAGACGAATCTCGAGTTTTGTGGTGAGTTACCGTTAGTAGTCGTCCTTAGATGTTAGTCGATTAAGTCGAGGTTTCAGTGCCAATGATGAGGCGACTTGAATAATCGATAAGGAAGTACGGGGTTTTACTTAACGGGAGTTAAATCACACAAGCGAACCTCCGCTTCCTGCCGCATCATTTCGTACGATCTGCTTTTATCTATCTAGATCTATTCTCCTTCCCTTCCATCTGTATTCTTATCTCTTCTTAAGTCTCCCCCTTTAGTCATCTCAATTTCTACCTTTTCTTTCCTTCTTATTTTCTATTATCTCAACTTTTTTATTATCTTATACAGTTTTCGTTATGCAATAAATGCAGCTTTTGATATATTTAACAATTAATAAGACATTAACCTCGATTAAATATTCTTATCGTTTACTTTAATGATTATATGAGTATATAAATATATAAAAAAATAAATTACGTATTAAATTGTGATGATATATATATTGCGCAATCACATACTGAACTCTATTCTGTACTTACTAAATATATATCGCCATAAAATATAGCCAACGTAAAACATTCTATGAAAAATAGGCATTCTAATTTCATTTCTATTATCTGTCAAATAATTATTCGGAAAATAATTTTGATTCCTTTTCGATTTAAAAATTATAATCACAGTGTGTGTGTGTGTGTGTGTGTGTGTGTGTGTGTGTGCGCGCGCGCGCGCACAACATAAAATTAATATTAGCTAATTTACAAAAGAAATTAATTGATAATGAAAATAAGATAGCCTAAATAAATAATCGGTTTTAAAATAAAGGCAATGGTGTGAATTACTTTTCTGCCACGTAAAATGTCTAGCATTTATATTAACATTTTAAATAAATTTATGGCGAAGCACTTCTGTGTATTTTTCCACGTGAATCGTTTCTCCACTTGCTCTATCCTATACGAGAATATAGATGTACCTTTTCTTTGAATCTTTTCTGCTTTTTTTTGTTGAGTCTAAAATGATCGAACGACGCATTTATGGTGAACTTGACTTGTTGTTTTGAGCGCACGCACCATGAAAGGGCACGAGGATCTAATAGGAGGAACCGGCCAAATCGAAGCTGCTGGCCATTGACGGTAGGTACGCGAGATCGAAATTCGAGTAAATTCTTTGGTGCACGCGAGTATATCCTCTCGAGAAAGCGTCTAAGTGGCCGCGGCAATGCGCTGCACCATTTCGGCGGATATCCGGGATGAGAATTTCTATGGTGCTCTGTCTTTTTTCTCCTCCGTTTCATTCTCTTCGCGCTGCGTGCGAGGTAAAAACGGGGGTCGATTCAACGCTACGAAAGACAGGGAGAGTGACACGGGAGGAGGTGGAGGTGAAGAGAGAAATGGTCACCACCCGCGCGCACCGCCCCATCGCTCTCGTCATTGTTCGCCGGAGTCTTTTTGCTCGTACGTTGTGCCGTGACATCGCGATTTTACGGAAATTCGATCGGTTTTGTCGACGACGGCGGATGGTGCCTGCCATAAAAAGTGCGTAGCGCGCGCGGCAAACACTTCTTACGCGATTTGCGACACCGGGGTTACCGGTGAGTGCCCAACGTATAAGAAATGCAAGACTGATCGCAATGTTTATTTTTAATAATA